TCACATAAAGATACCTTTTCAATTTGATGGTTATCTTTTATATGCTGATGCACTTATAACAATAGTTATTTCTATTGTTAATAAGTGCTCAGATATGTGAGAAAACATATCACAAATAGATACAATGGTTCGAGACCTTTTCAGATCACAAAAACACACGAACACATTTTCCGTCAAAGATTTGCGCTGCAGCGCTCAAACGCGCGCTGCAGCGCGCCCGTGCGCTGCAGCGCACGCTGCTGTGCGCTGCAGCGCGCGTGCCTAGCAAAACAGACCCGAGGGTCTGTTTTGCGCAGGCTGCAGCGCCCAAACGGGCGCTGCAGCGTACACTGCTGTGTGCTGCAGCGCGCGTACCTAGCAAAACAGACCCGAGGGTCTGTTTTGCGCAGGCTGCAGCGTCCAAACGCGCTGCAGCGCGCACTCTTTCGCGCTGCAGCGCGTGCTTGCGTCAGCTTACTCTTCCCGAATGTGTTTTAATCCAATTTTGTGATATCAAGATTGAGAGATATATTACAATCTCTCTAACAAATACAATTACATACATATATAGATCTGATAATAAAATAAAGAAAGGTATGGAAGCCTCCGAATAGCATGCATGCATTAAACTCCAGAAACATGGGGATGCGGCTGGTCGGTTGGTTTGTCCATTGAATCTCCAAAAGGCTACATTCAGTCTCTCTTCTTAAATGTACACATTTTGATATGGGATAACAAACTTGTGGCTCTTATTACTCTTTGAGGACTAAAGAAATTATTTTTTTTTGGCAAAATCTCCGCGTACTTTGTTTTGGTAAACTTTGTGCTATCCCCTTTCGATATCAGAATGGACAGTATAACTTGTACTCTTATACTGGACGTGGTGCATGGAAATTGATGTTCATTGGCATTTTGAATGCTAAATTATTGCAATTATTGAGCCTGCATTATACGCAGAAGAAACTCTTCCTCTCTCTTTTTTAAGTATTTTTTTATTTGTATTCTCTATTGCTTAACTGTTCGGAATTTTTTTTCCAGTACTTTCTCATGGAATTATGTGTTATGTAGACTTTGCAAAGTGTGTCACGTAGGGATTTTTAAACTATTATTATGTCCCTAGTAAGAAATATTAGTACCAAATCAATTTTTTTTAAATCATATAATTAATATATATTTTTGAGAAGATATTGTAAGTGTTAATTGTATACGTATTTTTGTAAGAGCTTTACTTTTACATAATAATCTTTCATGAAATTTAAAGCATTCTAATTAGTTATCGTATCATTCCCATATATCACTCACACACACACACACACACACACACACACACACATATATGAGCCTTTATTTTTAATATGCATGAACTAAACCTGCTCTCACAAAATAATTTGAACAAATATTTTCATGGTACATATGCTTCGTGTGTGTGTGTGTATATATATATATATATATACATATATAATTATAACAAAACAACGAACACGATGAAAGAGCTTGTATTAATTAATCATTTCCAATATTTTATTCTTTTGAATTACAAAACAACGACGATGTTCGATAGATATTTTTTGCGGAGATAAACATGTCTCTGAAGCCTGAAATATAGGTTTGTCAAAACTCCATTAAGGCAATTCAATTCTCCAAAGAAGCATGCGTCACTAGCTACCAACAAAAGAAGGAAATATATATATCTATATATATATATATATATATGTATGTATATATGTATATATAAATATCTTAAAACTTGCGTAAAGTAGGCGTACTAGCTACGCCACAAAACTAAGGTCAAGAATGTACATCACCTTCTTTTTTTTTTTTTTTTCCTTTCCTCATGTTGACATAGATTTTTTTTTATGGACCAAAATCCATTCTACCGTCAAGTTTGTAGTTCTTTTCTACTATATAGCCCCTATACTTTGAAACATTCCATAGCGACTTTTTTTGAGTGGACCCTTCTATGGTTAACGCACAGTTTTAAAGGGGCCTTTGGTATGGTACAATGAGTAGGAATCAGGCTAATTGGGAAGTGAAGTGAAAGAATATAAAAATAAAGAATTTACAAGATTATTTCCTGTCTTTGGTTACCCTTGGGAATATGGACTCAGGCTATGTGATTTTTTTTTTTTAATTCATTCAACTACTCAAATGCAATCTTATAACTTAAGAAATGAAAGAAGGAATAGTGGCGAAAAAGCAGTGCTAGTAAAAGCATGAGCAGCCAAGGTGAGGGCAAACAAATTCCCTAAGCAGGCAATATGGAGCAAATCTCACCCCCGCCTAAGCGAATTAGCAGATTTGCAGCAATAATATTTGGATACTCTGGAGCTGGTCATTAGCTGAAATTGCTTGAATTTGGAACATAGATTTTAGAGAGGGAAACAAAAATGAAAGAAAGTAAAAAAAATATTAGGAAAATTATATTAGGGAAAGTATATTTATTAATAGTTTTGACTTTATTGGTATTTATTTTCATGTTAGGAAGCTTCTTGATTTTAGTTTTGAATAACTTACCCGATTATACTATAATAAATATCATTATCAATAACTAACTAAAAACACGATTAAGCACTACCAATAGCATTTTGTGGAACGCTAGGACATCGGACGCTATTAAAAGTCGTACAAAAACATAGCGTTCTAAGAATGATATGAGAAACGCTACAAAATTGAGGTCTTATAGTGTTTTAGACATGTTATTTTCAACCTCTTACAACTATTTGGCGTTGTTACAGTACACATTAATAGCTTTTCTCTCTTATTATGTTCATACTCCTGTAGCTTTCTAAAATTATTATTGAATATTTTACCAATAGTAAAAGTAATACATACTAACATCTTATCTACTTTTATTATGTTAATATCCTTTTGAATTCATTTAAATAGATAGTGATTCCGAGCAACATCTTACATCCAAATAGGAACATTCAAATTAAAACATAAAAACATTCAATGTAATAATTGTTATCAATATCTACAATGTTGGCAATAAGATATTTATAACACAAGCCATACCATTTATCCACAACTTTAACATCAAAAACAAGTAAAGAATACATAGAAATAGCTAGAGATATCAAAATATCCAAAATGTCTGGCCAAATGAAATGGTTAAGTAAATAATCCATCTTAACAAAATGCTCCAACAAAAAAGTCATCTCCTATAACAAAGCAACTATTGACCTGTCACAAAATTAGTCTAATTAATTAATTAAAACATATAAATTGATTAACTAATGAAGCACAAAAACAAAAAACCAAATAAACCATAAAACTAAACAACAGAACAAATTTTACTATAAAGGCAGAAACTTCACTACAAGAAATATCAGCATTAGTAGCTGACCAAAAGCGCTATTAATCACTAGCAATAGCATTTTGTAGAACGCTAGGACATCGGACGCTATTAAAAGTCTAAAGAAAACATAGCATTCTAAGAGAGTTATTAAAAGCGCTATAGAATTGAGGTATTATAGCGTTTAAGACAAGTTATTTTCAACCTCTTACAACTATTTAGCATGACTACGATACAGATTAATAACTTTTTTTCCTTATCATGTTCATACTCTTATAGCTTTTTAAAATTATTATTGATATCATTTTGAATTCATTCAAATAAATAGTAATTCCGAGCAACATCTTATATCTAAATAGGAACATTCAAATTAAAACATAAAAACATTCAACATATCAATTGTTATCAGTATCTACCAAGTTGGCCATAAAATTACGTCTACAACATAATTCATACAATGTCCAAAACCTTAACATTCAAAAAAAGTAAAGAAAACAGAGGAATAGTTGGAGATATCAAAGCATCCAAAACGTCTAAGTGAAATGGTGAAGTAAATCCTTCCATCTTGACAAAATGCTTCAACAAAAAAGTCATCTCCACCTTTTAACCTGTAAGAAAGTAATCCACTATCAAAACAATAATCAAACTCAACTAAAACTTCCACCATTTAACCTATAAATAAAGCAGAGACTAGTTACATCATTCACAACTACGTAGCCACATCCACATATGTTTTGCAGTGAGTTATAAAAAACATGGCTTCAATGATGCACTAGACAAAAATTTAATGTCAAACTTGTAAGACAGAGAGTATCTTACATGTATTGGTATGTAGATAATTGGAGAAAGCATGAGTCTTCATTGCCTACATTTACTACAACATAATTCATACAATGTCCAAAACCTTAACATTCAAAAAAAGTAAAGAAAACAGAGGAATAGTTGGAGATATCAAAGCATCCAAAACGTCTAAGTGAAATGGTGAAGTAAATCCTTCCATCTTGACAAAATGCTTCAACAAAAAAGTCATCTCCACCTTTTAACCTGTAAGAAAGTAATCCACTATCAAAACAATAATCAAACTCAACTAAAACTTCCACCATTTAACCTATAAATAAAGCAGAGACTAGTTACACCATTCACAACTACATAGCCACATCCACATATGTTTTGCAGTGAATTAGAGAAAACATGGCTTCAATGATGCACTAGGTAAAAATTTAATGTCAAACTTATAAGACAGAGTATCTTACATATATTGTTATGTAGATCGAGAGATCCTACAAAGTAATCATAGGAGAAAAGGTTAAAGTTAGACCTTTTGCAATAATACAAAGTAATCAAAGGTAGTGTTTGCAACTTTATAATCAAAGCTTCCATTGATAAACATCATACAACTAAACAGCAGAACATAAAATTTTATCAGCAGGCCATGCCACATTACTTGAAATTGCTTCTTCAATGGTACTCATCTCACTCGTTGGCCTCCACAAGAAATCGTCCGGTTGTTTTGCTCAAACTACTTGCATTCTACAAGGAGAAATCTTAGGTTCACAACATTAAAAGAACATTCTTCAAGATTTTGTAAAATAAGAAGGATAATTATGAATGTACCATGTCTTTAATCAAGTGAGCATATCCTTTGCGACTGGTTGTATGTGGAAGTAGTTTCTTCATCATGTTTTGATACTTTTGACTTCTTTCCTAGTAAAAACAATTAAAGAAAGCACCATATGCATAAATATGGACTACATATTAGAATTATCAATGAGAGAAAATAATAGGTTTTTAAGTTAATTATACCTAAAAAGCTGCACTTGTTTTCTCCCTTACAAAAGCTTTCCACTCTACAACTGATTTGATGTTATCAGGCTTCAATTTTAGTCTTTCTTCTTCAGTTTTGGCCTTCTTAACTTGGTAAAGTAATCTTGATTTTGAAGCCCTCCAAATTGCACCCATGTTCCCAAAGATTTGATGCTTCTGCCATTGTTTATCAACTTTATATCTTGCCTACAATACAACAAAAATATTGTAATTGTCAAATAAGTGTTAGTATAAGATATATACTATAATGCACTCTCGTACAGTCATAAGCATACCCGGATAGCTTTCCAAAGTACTTCTTTCATCCCTGGCTGTAACATCATCAATCGACTTCTTAATTAACATAACGCTAAATTAATTATCACATTTGTAACAATGAAATAAAATTTATTAGAACATCAATTTCAAATAAAAAAACTAATAATGTGGATCAAGTAGATAAATAACTTAATACTATACCAAAAAATCTAATTGAAACATCACTCAACACATACATCAAAAGTTGAAAACAATTCTTAGGAAGACAAGAATGCAAACAATAGCATACCTTGGGAAAGGAAATTGACATCAATACATGGTTGAAAAGATCAAACATTGAAAAATGTACAGAACAATTGGAGAAAGAGAATCCAGAATAAACATAGCATACCTTCCTCTCTTAGAGGAAAGCACCTAACCAATTACAAATCTGTCAAAAATGAGAAAAAAAATTAGACATGCACAACCAAAAACACAGGGATAAACCAAAACAGAAAAAGAAAACAGGGATGATTTCTTCTGAAAACTGAAATCTGAGTGAATAACTTGTTTGGCTGAAAAAAACTAGACATGCACAACCAAAAAAATTAGACATGCACAACCAAAAAAACAGGGATAAAAGAGCACAATAGTTTGGCTACTGAATAACTAGTTTCAACATGTTTTTCTTCTTCTTATCAACAGACGGGCACTAAGGTGCTTGTGAACAACCACTAAGGTGCCTAATTTCAGATTTTGACCAATTCTTTTCCGTAAAATCAAGACAATCTGACTTCTTTTCAAGAAATTTAAAATCAACAATCAAGATATTTAAAATTTGATTTCTTTTCACGCACATTGTTCGCATAAACACAACAAAAGCTTATGTTCTGTACAGGAATACTAAATTTTATAACCTTCAAATTGGGGGTTTTCTTGTGCAACTAACGAATTTCAAAGTAAAAAACAAATCATCACAACATAATTGATGCAACTAAGAGAATCGAAACAAAAGTAGAGTAGAAAATTGTGATTCGACGAGAACAAGCCGAACAAAATCAAGCCATACCTTGGTATCTTCTTTCAAAACCCAAACTTGTACAGAGAAACGAAGAGAAGAACGACCCAACCTTATACAGAGCAACGAAGAGAATAACGACCAAAACTTTAATAGATCAAAGACCCAAATTTTGAATGAGGGGAGTGTTGCACTTCAACAGATGTGCGATTAATTTGAGGAGAAAGAAGCCGAAACAATCAAACCATATCTTCATTACAGCAACATCAAAACCCTAACTTTTATAGACAAATAAAGAGAACAACGACCCAAAGCTCATAAAACTTAAATCTGAGGAGAAGTAAGCCTTTGCTGCACGAACGAGGAGGTTTTACATTGTGTGGAAAGAATTCTTCCTCATGAGCATTTACATTGAGTTTGAGTTCTGCTTGAGCTTTTTCTTCTTTGGGCTGCCAAAATGGCATAATTTTGGTTAAAACTGCCTGAACTTTTTTTTCTTACGGTGGCAATTTTTTTAATCCTCCTCAAAGTATTGCACGTGCCCTTCTCATGTGTCATTTAACTCAATATTGCGCGCGTCTTTCAAAACATTTGCGAGTAAAGTGGAAATTTGGGGGGAAACTAATCCGCCAAAATATTTCATGGTTTCTTAATATATATATATATATATATACCGAAAATAACGTTTTTGAAACGCTATGAAATACAATCAAAATAAGTTTTAATAGCGGTTTTTCAAAAATGCTATAACTAAAAGTTATTAAAAGCCCATTTTTTTGTAGTGAATTGTGAGCAAGAGCACTTGAGTTTCCCAGGACACTAATAACAAGTGCTTACGAGTTAACTCATATTTCATCTTGATTGCCAAGTAACAGCACAACTAATGTCCAAAGTAGGTCACTTTTTCAGTAATGGGCATGCAATCATGAGAGTCAGAGATATAGGAATACTAACATTTGAGAAACTACGTCAAAAGAACAAGCTAGAGGAGACCAACCAACAAAATGAAATATAACAATATGAAAATCGTATGCCAAAAGTCCTTATTTTTAAGCCCTACAAATGAATGCAACATAGCTTTGCCAATTCAAACTGTGGTACCTTACGATTCTTTAGCCTCAAACCCATATCCATTGATTTCTCCTGCAGAACTTTTATATCTGAATTTATAGAACCAATCTCAGCCTAAAAGTGTTTCATGAAGTATTAGTTATCTTGACAGTAATGTTACAATTTTAACAAAGAAATATACAGAATACTAGCATGAAAAAAAGTCATGAATGAAAGTAAGAGTAAGATGAAAGTGAAATTATATTAAAGATTATAGATGCTTCACGGCTACACCTAAAACATGTGTGGCAAAATAAGCAAATGTTAGCACTTGTCACTAAATAAACCATTCACAAGTTAAAACTACAAAGAATTTCATTTAATCAAAGCAAGAAATTCATTATCACAACAAAGGATTTAGCAAGGGACCTAATTAAAATTTCTCTGTTCATGGATAGAAAAGAAAGAGAAAGAAACTTAACCACACCCTACAAACTTGAGAAATCTATCTAATAACCAATGTATAAAGAACACAAACATGGGAAAAAGAAACACTCATCATGTCAAATTTAAGATGCATTCCGTTGATGATGCTAGATAACCTATCCTGTCATTCAATATAATAGCGAATATAGTGCTACAAGAAAGAGAAATAAAAAATAAAGTATAATGCGGTTGCACATTTACCTCCCATCGTACAAGAGCAGTTTTTTCCCCAACTAATTTCAAAATATGTCCACGACTATTAATGGGAATCGTCAAACCTTCAAGACCAGGAATACTAAGTGGGATGTGCGTTTGAACAATTTGGGACGTGGGATCCACCAAGGAATCATTAGTTATCTCAAACAAGGTTGAAATGCCCACTGACTTGTCTAGAAAGCTATACCTATTTATATGAAGAATACTTTGTATAAGTAAAAGGAACGAGAAAGTGTGGATATTATTTGAAGCGTAGCAAGGGACAATACCATCGTAAATCATATTAACAAACAACCTTCAAAGGGAGTCTTGAATAACATCAGATAATTTATACAATAAACTATGAAAACTATTGGCACGACAACATGGAATCTGACACACTCCAAGTCTCCAAATAGTATTGCACGCAATGGCATGAATTTGAAGCCAAAGAGATACACACACTCTGCTGGCCAAGTTCCTTCAGAAAGGAATGAGTCTTCATTGCCTACATACAAAACTCTGAAAAGAATAAAAATGTGCTATCACAATCTTGCAAAAATGAAGACAAAGGTTCATTTCAGCTTTAAATACCTTTTAAGTGTATGATGTAGTTTACATATAATGGTTTACTGAAAAAATATTTGCATGAACTACAAAACTGAAATTTGCTTAACATTACATCTCAACCACATAATGCTGTAACTTATGCAGTTTGTGGCATTATGCCATTCTAATTTCCTTTCTAGGCCATTCAAGGATAATGTGATAATTGCGTCATTAATTAAAATTTTCCATTCGTAATATATCATACACCAATTCTTTTTGCACCAATAAATTAAAAAGGTGACAACATTCTTATATGATTTTCTTCTGATTTTTTTTCATCTTTAGTGATTTATTCTCACCCTCTATTTGACTCAGTCCAATTTTCTAAATCCTTTTCACTCCACTTCTCAGTTGGTTTCAATCCTCAAAAGATAAAACTGCATAAAGTCAAATTATGCCGTTCTTACTGCTTTAGGGGCCATAAACGCAATGACGCCCACTTTTTGAGCCCATGTCATAAAATAATCTCGTACTAAAATTATCTTACGAGGAATTAGTTTTCTGAAATTTTCTAACTAATTTCCGAAACATAACAATATGAAATTAACATATTCTCAAATCTGAAATCATCAACACAATTGCTTAACTAATCATAATGCATAGAATTGAAAGCATAATTATAGTCGAATTCGATAAATTGTCAGAATTGAATTATTTTCACCTTTGGTTCGCAGAAACGGAACCGTTTGTTCCAAATTCAAAACTTTGAATCTTTGCTCAGCTCTCAGAGTCTCTTTTTGGCGTTCTTCTCATTTCGGGCTAGCGGGTTGATTTGTTGATACGTCATTGTCTCCGGTCAACCGACGTAGTGGCACTGGAATTTGAAAACCCAAACCCGATATACCATGTCGAAGCTCTCGATGAGAAAAACTCGTTCCCCCCTTCGGTTTCCTCATTTGACGCTCCGATTACCGAAAAATTTCCAAAAATATCAAAAATCTAACCGAAGGTGGTCAAAACTATTCCGGCAACCAGTGGCAGCAAACTTGGTATGGATTTGTTCAGCTCGACGATAGGAGTCCAAAAAAAGCACTTTCTTGAGGATTAGATGTCGGAAGGCACTGAAAACTGCGTTGGAAGGTGCGGTGGCCGGGAATTTCAAACTGAAATTTCGGCCGATCGGCGGGGAATTGGGCGGCGTGGTGATGGGGGTTTTGTAGATCGGCTCATGGGCTTCTTGGATCTGATCTCGGATCACTGTGGGTTGGGCAGCCGTAGTCAGAATCGACGGCGGTGCATTTCTTCTTCCGTTGCGTTGAATGGTGCGGTGGCCGGTAATTTCAAACTGAAATTTCGGCCGATTGGTGGGGAATCAGGCGGCGTGGTGATGGGGGTTTTGTAGACCGGCTTATGGGCTTCTTGGATCTGATCTCGGATCACTGTGGGTTGGCCAGAGGTGGTCGGAATTGATGGTGGCGCATTTCTTCTTTCATCGCGAGTCTCTCACGTTTTTCTCTCTCTCTTTTAACGCTGATGAATAAGCATAGAAGAGAATTTGGGAAGAGAGAGAGAGAGAGATGGGGAGATGGCAGTTGGTGGTGGAATGTGTGAGGTTCGTTTGTGGGGCTGATTTCTGTAGAATGGATGTGCTCTGGGCATGGTTTCTGGTCGTATCCCACTTGCAGATTTTGCTTCCGAAGCTCTTCTGTCCCAGTTCCACAACTTACCTGCGTTCTACTTCTTTCTCTTTCAAATGGTGGTGAATTTCAATTTTGACCTCTAAAATTTCAATTTAACTCTTCGAGTTAGTAGGGAGTAGATGGCGGCTATTTTTTTCATTCTTCTCAAACTTTGTACGCGCGCTTCTCACGTGTCATTAAACTTAATATTGCGCGCCTCTCAAAACATTTGCGAGTAAAATGAGAATATGGGGAAAGCTACTTTCACAACCCGCCAAAATATTTCATGATATATATATAGAAAACTTTTTTAGAACGCTATTAAATTCAAGCAAAATAAGTTTTAATAGATTTTTTTTTTAAAAATCTATAACTAAAAGTTATCAAAAACCTCATCTGTTGTAGTATGTGTCTTGTAATGTCTATTTATATAGAGCCCCTTTCACAGTGCTACTTACAGTGAATTCTTCTTTCTCTATAGTTTTTTAGTCCGTGGATATAGGCACATTATTGAACCAAGTTAAATCTCTTAGAAGTTATTTGGTTTGAGGATTCGTACCTCGATTTAAATCATGATTTATGATTTACTATAGTGTTTTCTCTCATAAAAAAATGCACGTAAATCGAAAATGATTCTAATCTCATAATTCTAATTCATGAACCAAACGTCTCCTTAATCTTCTATTCTTTATTTTATTTAATTATTTAATTATTTATTAAAGGAGGGCGAAGAAACGATAATTGTTTCCTCCTGGTTGTATGGTAATAAAAAAGTTATCTATAATTGTTTTTATTTGTGTTTGGATGTTAAAAAGAAAAAGAACTAAGTAAAAAACAAAAAAAAAAAAACGTTAATACTAATGTGAATCAAATTAAGTTTCACTTATCCTTTTTTTTTTCTTAATCTTTACTTTCTCGTATCATTCTCGAACCTCACTCTCTCTTATCACTTTCTGTCTCATTATTTACTCTCCTAACTCACTCTCTTTAATCATTCTCTCTTCAAAAAATACTTCACCTTCTGGTTTCACGTGAAGACGTCAAAAATAAAGATAGGCCTTGACTGCAACTTAGTTCAATACGAAAGTGTTAGGGATTCTGATTATCTGGTAGTTGCTCTCTTTTTAAGTCTATAAAGAAAGGAAAATAATTAATTCATATTTCACCTCCTTTGACGTGAATTTAGTAATGTAATAAGTTGTGATGAACCTAAGCAGAAAACCAGAGCTACTTATATATCATTATATGCAGTACTATTCTATGAATAAAAAATAAAAAACAAAGAACTAAAAATCTTACTAGAATACTGAACTAAAAGGGTCATTACGAACAGCCAATTACATCCCAAGCGCAATTAATCAAAAACCGAATCTCAAAAGTAATTTACATCACAGAGTGTAATTAAGAACTTGACCTTAATTTTTTACCTATCTCTCAACTAGTGCTGGAACTTTGGACGGGCCACCCGTGACCGCCCGAATATATCGAGTTTTTGCCTAAAGCCCTACCCGACCCGCCCGAGCCCCAGAAGGCCCGTGAACGGGCCGCAGGCCTGTATTTGGCTGCCCGAGCCCAGCCGGGCAGCCCGAGCCCGCCCGAAAAGCCTGAAGTTTTTTTAATATTTTTAATATTTTTTAATTTTTATAATTATTAAGTTATTTTGTGTTAAAATTATATAAAAACTAAAATCAACATTCAACACACATTATTAACACAATTTAATATATTAATTTTGTATATTAATTTTTAAATTAGTAATTCATGATTGCCTCGTTAAAAACCTTACCCAGAAAAACCCAATTGGGATAAAAACTTGGTAAGGAAAAAATAGTACAATCATTTTGTGACAAATTACAAATTTTACAAATTTACAAAGTTATACAATTACAATGTCAAAAGTAAATACATATTTACAAATTATAAATTTACAATTTAATTTGAAGCTGAAAGATCGTTTTCAAAATTAAATGTTAATCTATTAAATTCATCGATCCATTCTTAACTTGCTAGTGAAATTGTATCCTGTAGATGTTGATCGGCATGATCCCAATCCTTAATGCAGACCAAGGCTTCAACAATGTCCCTTTGCAATGCGTTTCGGCGTTCCTCAAGTATTCGTCATGTCGTACTGAAGGCTTGTTCGGATGAAATAGTGGAGACTGAGATCGAAAATATATCCATTGCCAATCGAGTTAGGATTGGCCAAGTTAATGCCCGTGCCCTCCACCATTGAACTAAATCAAATGATTCTCTAGTACCGTCACTACAAGAAATATCAGCATTAGTAGCTGACCAAAAACGCTATTAGTCACTAGCAATAGCATTTTGTGGAGCGCTAGGACATCGGACGCTATTAAAAATCCTAAGAAAACATAGTGTTCTAAGAGAGTTATGGAAAGCGCTATAGAATTGAGGTATTATAGCGTTTAAGACAAGTTATTTTCAACTCCTTACAGCTATTTAGCATGGCTATGATATAGATTAATAGCTTTTTTTCCTTGTCATGTTTATACTCTTGTAGCTTTTTAAAATTATTATTGATATTCTTTTGAATTCATTCAAATAGATAGTAATTCCGAGCAACATCTTATATCTAAATAGGAACATTCAAATTAAAACATAAAAACATTCAACATATCAATTGTTATCAGTATCTACCAAGTTGACAATAAAATTACGTCTACAACATAATTCATACAATGTCTAAAACCTAAACATTCAAAAAAAGTAAAGAAAACAGAGGAATAGCTGGAGATATCAAAGCATCCAAAACGTCTAACTAAGTGAAATGGTGAAGTAAATCCTTCCATCTTGACAAAATGCTTCAACAAAAAAGTCATCTCCACCTTTTAATCTGTAAGAAAGTGATCCACTATCAGTCATATTACCAACGGAACTTCGAAACAGTTATGCACATTACAAAACCATGTTAATATCAACATGTGTGTAGTTGACCATCCTTTCCTACTATTAAGACACGATACTAAACCTTGCTATTTTATGAACTCGTGAATAAGTACTCCACATGTATTTGTGGCTCAATCAAATAAAACCAATTAACAAGACAAGTCAAATCCAACTCTAAGATTACCACTAGATTACCAATAGAGTTTAGGTAGGTCCACAATGATACATTACTGACTTAGAAAGGCCGGAGGGAAGTATCCCGTATAGCATATATATTTTAATGGCAACCTGATATTTAAAGTTGAAAGGGGAGCTTAATTAGTTTAGACAAGAATAACATACCCCCAATAGAAAATGGCTGCTCTATAATTGTTCCACTGAGAGGTATTCCATATATTTTATCGCCTTCGTACTTGTCTATCATAACAATTTGTAAAATATCCTGCCAAGTTAAAAAAATTATGATGAACTATAAACATAGATGAACTAGAAATGCTTCAACACAAAACAAGACATGAAACAACTGAGCACACATGATTTAAAGAACTATAAACATAGACATAAAAGTAAATTGACAAGCTAGATTAAACAACATAGTAAATATCTAAAAATGACTATTATGACTAACACCTCTTACATCATGCACTCACTACACCAAAAAAAAGCTTTTAATAACTTTTAATTATAGCGTTTTTGAAAAACCGTTATTAAAATTTATTTTGATTACATTTTATAGCGTTTTAAAAAAAGTTATTTTTAATATATATGGCCCCGTTCATTTCGCTGATTTGAGTTTAGAATTTGAGTTGAGATGTGATTTTATGTGAGAATTTTTTACTGTAATAAAAAAATTAAATGTGATTATTTATGAGAGTTTTTACTGTAAAAAAACTTAAATTCTAAACTTAAATAAGCGAAGTGAACGGAACCTGTATATATTAGAAAATCATGAAATGTTTTGGCGGGCTGTGAAAATTAAAATTTCTCTCTCTTTCTCATATTTATTTGTCTGCCTCTCCTTATTCTACATGTTCTCTCTCTCTCTCTCCTTCTCGTTCTTCTCTTCCTCTGCCGAACTCTCTCTCTCTTCTTTCAAGAAAAATTTTCGAATTTCAAAATTTAATAACTCACTCGCTCTTGATCGGAATTGAGTGATTCTTGTTTCTATGAGTTCACAACGAAGAGGAGAACGAGGTGACACCCATATTGCCTATGGAATCCATCGCGCTCGGAAGCTCACCGGAGCTCCGCCGTCGCCCGCGCCGTGAGCCGCCATCTCCGGCGGTAGAGGTCGACACTACTTGATTCAAAATGTTGAGGGCGACGTCGGGATGCTAAGCCCTCAAGAAATTTTGTGGAAGGAGCTTCTATTTTTGAGGTAGGGTTTTCACTTTTTCCTCCTATTTGGTTTAAATCCGAATTTACTTTTATTTTTCTTGTTCTATTTTCGTTGTGGTTATGATGGCTTGGAGACAAAAATGTAAATTTAAAACCATGTTTAAATTCAGCCTTCGTCAAATTCGGCCTTCGGGATTTGAGTGGCTTTCGTAGAAGAACCCACTTCCCAAAATGGAGCAAACAGCAAGCCAGAAAAGCACTGCTTCGTTTGTTGGTTTGTTTAGTGGTGCTGATAGAGTTGACTATGTGCTTATGTTCTTTGGAAGTGTTGGGACGTGCGTCCATGGGGCTGCACTTCCTGTTTTCTTTGTTTTGTTTGGTCGTATGATTGATTCTTTGGGACATTTATTCTAAGAATCCCCGTCAATTATCTTCGCACGTTTTAGAGGTACATTCTGGTCGTCATCACATCATTTCTTTCTTCTTCTTCTTCTTCTTCTTTTCAGTTAATGATTTCCTATGTTGTTCTGTTTTGGAATTTTCTCAATGGACTTTTCAAATGAAAGGTTTGATAGAAAATTGTCTTCTGAAATTTCTCTTAATGCAGAATGCTTTGTACTTGATTTATCTTGGACTGATAGTAATGGCCTCAGCGTGGATAGGTACTACAACAAGCAATGTTTGATCGTTTGCTTCCTTTTGCCGAATTTGAGAATCAGAATATTCCTTTTGACGGCTTGATTTCAGGTGTGGCATCGTGGCTTTGTTGATGGCTTTGTTGAAAATGACGTTAGTGCAGTTCTCACAACCTTGAGTAACAGTACAAGTCCAGAGTCCAAAGCTCTGGTTACTGTTCTGAAATTTGGTATGGAAGCATTTGCTGTGGTTCCTTTACGTAGAAAATTGGGGCATCATGAGTGTGTGCAGTGCCGGATCAGGAGGCCTTTTACTGTTTCTGAAGTGGAGGCATTGGTTCGGGCGGTTGAGAAGCTTAGAACTGGAAGGTTGGTTTCAATGATTAGACCATGTTTTTGCTTTTGAATGGAGAGTGGGGGCAGCTGCCTCTACTGAGTTTTTTATTTTCTTAAAATAACCTTTAAAAATTTGTCGTTTTCTCGTTTTGTCATGTTGAAATACTTTTTTTTTATATCGTTTCCACTAAATTTCATAATTTTTTATTACTTCAAGACAAAAATTTAATATATACCCTACTGAAATAGAAGTCTGGCTCCGCAACTGTGTTTGAGCATGTTTTGGTCTTTTAGCTACAACTAACTCTCTGTTCACTGTTGTAATTAGTTCTCTTATAGCTCTCATAATTTATGAAAATGAAAGGTAATTATTTATGTATATTTTAATCGGATGTGGTGCATGTATGGTTCAGAATAGCTTTTGTCCTGTTTCTTGTTTGAAATTTGAATTTGGATTTGAATTAAATCCCTGTGATTATCGAATTGTTGCATATAAACGAAGTGAAACATAACCTACTTTTGGTTGTACTTACTACCCCAAACTTAAAATTAACATTGTCCTCAATCTTACAAAAAGAGCAATGAGGATACAAAAACTCACATTTGCTTTTTTATTTCTTTATTTTTATTATTGTTTTACAACACAACAAATAAAGTTTCACAACACCACCTTTTCCCGACAACGGTGCTAAAAACTTGTTGGTTAAATTGCTACGTAAGTATGCATATCGCAAACAAATAATAAAGTGTACTGAGTACATATATCGTTCCCACAAAGACTGATTCACCAATAATAATATGAAGAAATCATACAAACTCCAAATTAAACAAAAAATTGACTAAGCAGATTTTCACTAAAATGTTTTAAGCAAATGGGTACACTATAAATGCTGGTAAGAATGGCAAGGAATAAGAATGCAGCTACGGGTTGTAATCAGTGATTTAAACAAGCTAGAATTATTAATTTCCCCTTAGCTGTAAGTCAATGATGCATAAATACTATAGAATAATTACTCCAGTTAATTGAAACTCAACTTTTACATCCAATCCTTCCGAATTAATTTTGACTTAAATTCTTCAAACCATTTCCAGCATATTCCTATGTGAATCTAGTTCTCAAAATGCAGATCTCAGCACTGGTTTCAATGGGTTATGCAAGATAAATAATATATTCCTATACCACTCACAAATTAACAAACTTAAATAAGAATATTGAACTTATATCATTTATGTTAGATCCAACTCAAATTAACCTTCCTAGTATTAATCTAAGTCTTGTATCTTATAGTTGACGGCTAATCAAAAATAGAAATAAGCAGTAAATATACACATGGATGAACATGAATAAAAGCTTAAGCAAATTCACAAATTAGCCTTCATTCTTACAACTTTAGTTCTATCAATAATCTTAGTAAGAAAATACTTAGCTCATAATTGGAATTACAAGAACCAAATAATTAGTATAATTCATTGTTCAACAAAATTGCAAATCTAAAGAGAAATTAAATGCAACATATGAGATAGAAGAGGGATTCAGCTGGTTTGGAGCTTTTAGCATTTTTCTCCTCCTTTTCCTTCTTCAAGCAAGCTTCAACAGGATGAAGAAGACTGTAAATCACCTCCTCCCCATACTGCTCTCCCTCTCTGCTCCTCCTCTCTCTTTTTGATCATTTTTTTTTCTTTTTTCTCTCCTCCTTTCCTTGCTGCGGTGCTCCTCTAAAATGGATGTACTCTTCATTAGGGCACCAAAGGACGCTGAGCTGTCACTAGTGAGTGGTTGGGTCCAAATGACTCTTAACAAGATCTTTCCTTTGTGTACTTTTGTCTTTTTCCATCACAAAGGTTCACGCTGATGTCATCCACAAATGCTGGTACTAGTTTTCCTGTGGAAAAATGCTACAACATTTTGTTTCAACTTCCTAAAATCACACCACAAGAACTTAGAACACAACTCAGCCCTTTTTAATTCAATTCTCTTCAAATACACCTCAGATTTAGCACATATCCTGATTTTAGCATGACATAGCGTAAGAATCAGAAATTGAAGATAAAACACAAGAAAACAAACAAATTTACCGTCGTCAAACAAACTTTAAGTTAAAAAATGCCTAACATTAAGTTAAGAAATGCTTAAGATAACTCTAATTTCTAGAGTTATCAGCTAGCATGTTAATAACTTTTATGTTGAGCAACAACTGTCGTTTTATATTTTCGTAGGGGGCATGTATACAAAAAATGTAAAGTACACAAGAGCAGATCTGACGAATTTTTGCAAGGCATGACAGTTAAAGTTCAAGTGATTCTATTGTAAAACCTGTTCATCTGCAGTCTTGACGTACGATCAAATAAAAGTTTCTAAATTTGATCTGCATGCAAGGGCGTGACCGTTAATCAGAAAGTGCCAACCTAGTTGAGATGTTTTGAGCAACTTCAATATCAGTTATCCAACTCTCTCCTTATTTATTAAAAAAATAAATAAATCTAATTATTAATTGTTGAGGTGGCTTTGAGAGGAACTTGGATAATTCATGCGGGAGTGAAGATGAAATCTCCTTCCTTACTTTCTCTGAAGTCTGATCAACAATATATAATAATTCTTTTGGAGTTTTTGCATGTGAGCATGAGCGTTCCATTAGAGACTACGCATTGCATTGATAATTATATGGACTCATTAACCTAATAAATTAAATTAATTATGTGCTTTCTCTTAAAAGCAACATTATTGGAAAGCACTTTCTGATTAACGGTCACGCCGGGTTGCATGCAGGCACCTGAAGATTTACTCGCAGTGCTATTTTCTGAAGGAAAGCTATTGTATTGTCACCCTTTAGTAATCAGCATTTTAATTTTTCTCTACACAAATTTCGAATGTTTATTTTACCTTGTAGTTATAGATTCTTAAAACTTAATAGGGAAAAGCGATTCACATGCAGTTATGAATAGATCATTAGTCCAACTTTTTAAGTACTATCCAAACGAAGTGGCAGTCTCAGTAAAATGGGGATATACATACATACATACGTACATATATATATATATATGTATTAATTTGTCTTCTTCCAGACTGCATAAAGCTTCTTTGATTATTTCTCTCCTACATTTAAGTTATATCATTCAACTTTTGACCTATTTAATTTCCTGATTAACTGCTTAAAGCATCGTGATCCTTATAGACTATTTTTTGGCATATTAAGCTTCTTACGAGAACGCTTGTGTTTTTAGCTACAAATTATTTCTCACAATCATCATTTAAGATTTCTAAGTATTTTTATTTTATTTTTTTGCCTAAATACACTTTGTGATTATATATCTTATCATGCAATCCAAGTATGCATAAAAGAGATAAGGAACCAGAAGCCTGGGCTATTGCTTGCTCCCAGAAGTCCATAATTGATCAATTAAATGTCTTACTGTTGCTGTCTTTATGATGTTCCCTCCCAGGCTATTGTTTGCTGCTGCAAGATTTGGAGTTTAGGCATTCACAGGGACAGCAGAAAAATTGGAGCGAACTGCATTGGACTTTTGACATCTCCATCATCTTCGGTGTATAAAACTGGGTTCTCCAAGTGGCTGAGAAGCACGAATCCCGACCATCTGATGCCGAAGGCTTAGTTGATTAATGAATCTCCGGAGCCAAAAACAAGCTGTACTAGGTAATCTGATTAAGATTGTGAACTATGTTCTTTAATGCAATACATTCTAACTTTAACTTTGGACAAATTGTGATGCGTTGACTTTGTTCTTTAATGTTATTTCATTGGTAGAAAAGTGGATTTAACAACAGTTATAATAGTCGTTAAGTTTAAAAGATCATGAGAACATAATGAAGAATTGTTTACCTTTTGGTTGATTTTATGTCATATTTAATTTCACAGATTCCAGATATCCCGTTCTTGTTGGAATATTTTTACGTGAATTTCCATAATCATAATAATTCACTCTGTAATTAATTAAAACATTTTATGGACAACTGTGTTAATGTTAAATATCGGTCCATAATGGTATGGATACTTGTTTTATTAACTCGCTTAAGGCATTTAAATTCCCTCTATCTCATAATATTTGATCAGCCCATTAGACTAAATACCCTTTGTGAATGAATACTGGTTAAAAACCCTTAGGCTTATTTGGTTTATAAGGCACCACCCCTTCTTTAGAAAAGGTGGGCTTGAGCTGGTTGGGGTTTTTTAGCGGTGGCCGAATGGTGGGAGAGAGGCAGAGATAGGGACGAGCTCAATGGCTCCTCTTGCCAACTTCTTCTTCCTTTTGCAGGTTCTCTATGGATTCCGGCCGGCCAATGGCGGATTCCGGCGACTGTTGACGACGCTTTTTCGCTGCCCACCGGAATATGAGGTATGCCTAAATCCCAAATAAGAATTTTGTGGCATTTTCGGATTTTAGGCTAAATTAGTTATTATGATCTTGTTTCGATCATGTTTTAATCATTTTAAATCTAGCAATTGGTATCAGAGACAACTTATTTGGATTTAGAGCTACAATTTTCAGATTTTTTCATTTTCGGTGGAACAAAACACAAAATTTTGAATCCTTGTTTTAGCTCAAAGAAATGATTCTTTGAGGTTACCCACTTCAAATATGTCTGATGGGAGATAATTTTCCTAAGTTTTGTGAGTCTATTTGGCCGATTTGTCATTGTTTGAAGCATGAAAAATGGCCAGAATGGGTTTTCGTTTGCGTTTAAAAATTTGAGTGTTTTGGGTCATTTCAATGTTATGGATCAAAAGAGAACGAAATTTTGAAAAAACCCCTTTTGAATTGTCAAAAACGGAGTTCCAAAGGCCAAGATATGGCCGGGTCGGGTCGTGGGTCCGTTTGAGCCGTGTTTTACCCGGTTGGAGGTTAGGGATGACAAAAATGACACCATGTTTTGATTTTGGGTTAAAAACGACATGTCATTTGATAAGTTTAGTTTTGTGTCGTTTTGACAAAAATGACGTCGTTTTTCTGTATCAACAAAACAACATGTCGTTTCTGGGGAAAAAAACAGTTTTGACCAAACTTTGACTGATCCGTACGAACACATCCAAAGTCCATTTTGGCCGCTGTTTTCACCGTTGCGCTCCGTTTTTCATTTCCTACCCATTTAAATGATTTATTTTGGGTTTGGGCCACCATAAAATCATGTTTTTAATATTTTTATATTATTGGTTGTATATTTTTATGGGTGGCTAATTCTCACAATTGTCAAACAAATTTTTCCTGGGCATTTCGTATACAATTTGTTTGATGATTAATGCCATAAAATTTTTATTATGTTGTTATTATTATATGGCATATGTAATTGTGAGAATTCGACAATAGTGAATGTTTATGTACTCGCCCGTTGTAAGTCTAATCATGTCAAATTGTTTCGGTTATTATGTTACGGAGCTCTCCCACAAAATTTAACATTTTCATTTGAAAAAAGCATTGGGATACACACATTCCTTACTTGGATGCACATGAGCTACCATAAAATATTTTTATTTAAATATTTGTTTATTGTAATAATTTTCATATATTTTTTGGGTAGTTTTAATTCTTACTATTTTGAGACCTAAAATTTTGGGGTATGTTTGCTATTCCATATTATATGGTCATATTTTATTTGTTCTCCCACATAATTTGATATTTTGGTAAATAAAATTTAGACATATAATAATGATGTTTGTTTAAATTTTGAAATGCCCATTTTGTGTTTAATGTTTTAATGTCTAATTATTTGTATAGGCATACATGGTCTCTTTTGTGTTAAAGTGAGAATGAAAATTTTAATTAGAAGCTCATGTACTATTATAAAGCTTAAGCTATAAGTTTATCCATAATTTATTTATTATTGCTATCATTATTATTTGATATCTTATTTTATGTGAGTATCATGTGTTTTGATTATGCTACCCAAGTGGGAGAAAATTAGAAACATTTTTTTTTTTTGGGATTAGCATAATCACTAACTCACATACTATTATCAAATAATAAATTGTGGGATTATATGGATAAACTTAATTTATTAATTATGTTCTGAAAGTCCATACGGGTAATGAAATTATCCTATTGATAGTTTTGTTGCTTCGTAGGACGCTTGGGTTTTGTTGGAGCCTAAGCTTGTTATTTTTATCCATGTATTTTGTTTACATATTATTATTTGACATTGATTATGCAGTCCAAGTGGGAAAATATTGTGAATGAATATGTGTAGACGTACATAATCACTAAACTCATATTATGATCAAATAATATATTGGAGTGTTAAGGAAAAGGTATGTGTTTTCCATATTGCTAAGATTCATACGGGCAATTAAATTATCCTATCGATAATTAATTATTTGGTAAGATGCTTAGACCGGTGAAGGAAGTTTGTTAGATGTCATGAACCGCATAATCTTTACTACCCTATCGGTGGTGGATTGATACATTTGATTGTGATGTTTGATGAATTGTCCTTATCTGCGAAAGAATTCTATTCTTGCTCAACGGACTCTAGCACACAATGATCATATTGGCTTGGATCATTTGGAAGGCTAAGTAAAGGGCAAATTGCATGATCTTGTTTTACATGCCTATTGTTGGTTGCCCATGTTGTTTTCTTTAGCCTTGAGTAATCCTTGCATCTCCGCTATCTTAACGTTAAATGGGATAAGCCATTATATATGGTATGAATCTCTTTATGAATCTGTGAATGATGAAATGGACATAGCCTTGAGAGTGGATTTGTTTCCTAGCTCCACTAATGTGTTGAGAAACTCTATGATGAGTAGGACTGTATGGATAACACCTAAGCAGTAGTGTCTCAATTTTAGGATGAGACAGTCACTAAAATTAGCTTTATGGAGTACGTTGTTAATAAATTCATATGTGTAAGGTTAGTGGGAGCAGTTGCATGTTTCTGTTTTTCATGTTGGTGACAACTTGTTCGTGCCTAATGATTTTGACATGCTGGTTAAGACGAATAGCATGTCGCCTAGTCACTTTGGTTTAAGAATCTTGAAAAAGCTTATTATGTTCTAGGCATGTAGATTCTTCGTGACAAGGATAAGTGCATTTTTTAGTCGTCTCAGAGAACCTATATTGTTCTTATTTCAAACAGGTTCAGTATGCATTCTTGTTCTCCTAGTAAGTATTGTTTGTTAAAGTGACAAACTCTCAAAGGTGTAATGTCCTAATGGTGAAGTAAGAGAGATTAGATAAAACTGTCCCTTATGCTTATGTGTTTAGCAGCCTGATGTATGCTCAAGTAAGCACACGTCTTATTATTGTGTTTGTTGTTGACGTGCAAATTCGGTACTTGAGTGATTGTTGTTATTATTACTAAATTAATTGAGAATGAAGTACCGGATAGTTGTGTATCAGCGAACCAACACTTTTGTTGTAGTTGGATCTCATGATGTCGATTAATCAGGCTGCATAAATGATAAAAGGAATTACTTTGTTAAAAAGTGTCAAATAGACACTCGTAGCGTCTTTGATCGTGATGCGGAGTATGTGGCGTATCGTGAGGCTATTTGTGTGATGTGATTTTGGAACCTTGTTTCAGCATTAGGAGTAGTTCACTCCATTTCTGGACCGGCTGAAACTGTGTTGTGAAAGTTCCATAATAGTATATTTCTCTTAAAACACCAGGAGCATTGTCCGCTCAAGCATAATAATAGTGTGTTCTATTTTTGTAAAGAGAAATTGTAAAAGACTATTGTTATTGAAAACACGCCTATAAACAACATGTTGGCAGTTCCACTAAAGGCTTACCTATTAGGTGTTTTAAGAACACGCATCCCACTCAGGATTGTAAGGAGCCTGTAATTGTATTGAGTTAGTGGGAGTTTACTGCCATTTGTGTGTGACATATTGTTATTGATAAGGATTGCTTATGCCTTAAATAACACATGCATATTCATGGATCTGTCACTTTATGTGTGATGTTGTGTTAACACACTTTTTAGTTGACAAAGTGACAAGTTGAAAAGAGATATTTGGTTGTTAGTCTTTATCATTGTTTTTGATCCATATATTAAAGTTATCATTATGCTTTGATGAATCTCTAGCGCCTGATTATGTATAATGATTGTATCCTGTCGATACGTTATTATGCATGATTGTTTTGGGCTTGTGTTTATTATGTGAGATTCTTAGTTGATGTTTATGTTGTGATGAGTGAATGTTTGTTGTATGATTATGCCGTCTAAGTGGGAGACTGTTGGAATATTTTTATGTGGACTTCCATAATCATAATACTTCACTCTGTAATTAATTAAAGCATCTTATGGACAACTGTGTTAATGTGAATTAACACATGCATGCATGTTAAATATCGGTCCATAATGAGATAGACACTTATTTTATTAACTCGCTTGAGGGATTTGAACTCCCTCTATCTCATAATATTTAGTTAGCTCATTAGACCAAATACTCTCTCTGAATGAATACTGATTAAAAACAGTTAGGCCTATTTGGTTTATATAGGCACCAGCCCTTTTTTTTTAGAAAAAGGTGGGCTTGAGCTGGTTGGAGATTTTTAGGGGTGGCCGAACGGTAGAGAGAGGGAGAGATAGGGACGAGCTTAATGGTTCCTCTTGCCAACTTCTTCTTCCTTTTGCAGGTTCTCCATGGATTCCGGCTGGCCATTGGCGGATTCCAGTGATTGATGACGACGCTTTTTCGCTTCCCACCAGAATATGAGGTATGCCTATATCCCAAATAAGAATTTTGTGGTATTTTCAGATTTTAGGCTAGATTAGTTATTATGATCTTGTTTAGATTAGATCATTTTAAATCTAGCAGTTCTCCCTTGCGCTATCCCTCCTCCGTGCAGGCATTCCTCCTCAGCAAAGATGGCAGATTCCCCCGCACTGATCGCGTCACTCCTTCGGGTAGCCCTCCTTCCTCCGTGCAGGCGCCTTCTTAGCGAAGCTTGCTGCTTCACCATCTCTTGAACACTGCGTTGTTGCTCTGAGAGAATCTCAGCTTTGTCGCTGCTTCTCTACCCAATTGCAACTTCACCGTTGATCATAAGGCGCGTCACTCCTCCACGCCGGTTGCAGCTTTGCCGACCTTAAGTCCTCATCTCTCATTCTTCAAATAATAAAAAATATTCTCAAAGGAAAACACCAACCTATTTTTCAGATTTTCTTAGGTTATGGTTAATAAAACTGATGAAATAACATATTGAAATGTGATTAATTTCAAAACCATTATCAACCAAACTCTACATTATCATTCAATCTCTGAATTAGTATGCTTGTGTTTGGGAAGATGACCGATTTTTCCAATAGAATACCATCGGTGCAAAAGAAGACAATCAAAAGTCATAAAAAAAAAGCAAATCAGACGGAACAGAAAAATGTGCAAG